CCACGTTGGCCATGCAGAAGGCGCGATGTCAGCGCGCGGCTGGGCACAAGGCTGCCATCCACAGTCGCGGGCAGGAGAGCAACACCAAGTAGAAGTACATCGTCATCCAGGTCCCAGCCAAGACCAGCATCGACCACGTTTTCGATCACAACCAGGATCTCTACGACGACCAAGACTACAACTGCGACAATGCCGAGTACGTCACCATGCCGCCGTCCATCCCTGCGGTACCGCTGCCTCCTCCTGGACTACGGCCTCCTGCTGTACAGCGGCCTTCTGCTGGATGCCTTGGGGGCCCAGGTCCGCAGCCTCCTGCTGGACAGCGGCCTCGGACTGCCACAGGGGGACCACCCTCTCCTGTGCGCCCCGAACACGGGAATCCCTCCTCGGGGTCCCCTTGGTGGCCCACCTCACCTAGTCCTTCGGGCTATGTCGCCGAGGGCCCCGCCCCCGTCGCCATTGCTGGACTCGCCTCTTCCACGCCACCTTGAGGTCGCCGTCTAGGCCCAGGAAGAAGAACAGAGAAGATTGCAGAAGGATATCGACGTCGCCGCGGGAGACGTCGGCGTCGCCGTGGAGGAGATCGCCGCCCACACCAACTACAAGGATGACATCCACCCCCCCGTCGCCAAGCTCGCTGACGAGGCCGCGCAGCCGCAGACAATCACGCAGGCTAGGGACAACCCTGGGTACAGCCGTGGGCAGGAAGGCCGAGGAGTCATCCACATCAGGACTTCGGAACCCAGCGCCAACATCGACGTGTTTGGCGTCCACTCCACCTTCAGTCCCTTTGGCAAGTTCCATGTGGTCGGATTGTCGAGAAGTGCATGCGTCGTGGAATGCAATCGCGACGAAGGCGCCATACAGGCTACGACTCGCATCAGTGGCTTGTCATAAGGAGCTTTCCCGGTTACCGTTGCGCCTCCGACCGCCGGTGCGTGCTCAACCGCCAGCTCTTCGACCGCCGCTGCTTCGCGGGCGCGGGCGCCATGGAACGCGACTTCCCCGTCGTCGTCGCCCCCGTTAGGGTGAGCGAGCCGCCCGCCCCCAGGGGGGGGGTGCTGGCGGCCCCCGGGGCAGGTGAGCCTGACCCTCCGCGGCTCGCCTTTGCAGCGCCCCCAGCGGGAGAGGCGGGGTGAGGAGGAGGGGGGGGGGGAGAGGAGGGCGGCGGGGGGGGGGGGGGGAGGAGGGGGAGGAGGAGGACGAGGAGGAGGGAGGAACAGTCCTGCAACATCGTCTTCAAGCGGCTGCCGCCGCCTGGACTGGAGTTCGCCTGCGAGCAATTCGCCAAGCTGGTGTCCAAGTGCGCCCCGTGTGCGGTCTTCGCGATCCTCTGCCCGGTCGGCCAGCGATTCCAGAGACGATTGAAGATGAGGGTTCTCGCCGTCCACGCAGGCGTGTCCACGTTCCAGGAACGGGACTCGCACCGCGGTCCCCGTCGCGGGCCTCGTCGGCTTTCAGGCGGTCGAGCTTGGCAATTTGCGGGATGCAAATCCGTGATCAAGAGCTTTCACGAGCGTTATGGAGTGTCTTTCTGGCCATTGATCTTCTGGGCGGAGTCGCGCGTGCGGGCGGAGCAGATGGAGCGACTCCGCCGCGGCGTCGAAGAAAAGTGGATTGCGGCTCAGGATAAGGGGCTTCTCGACCGCAGTGGAGTTCGATCCCATGAAGCCCAGGTGCGCGGCGTGGAGAGCCGCCTGTGAGGGCGCCCGCTGGTGGAAAAAGGAGCTGGAAGACAGTGCAGAGAACATCGAGGACAAGGTCAGAGAGGTCCTTGACGTGGTGGACTGCGACGCCCCGGTCTCCCGCGAGAGGGGGGCCAGTCGCGCGGTGCCCCGGCCGCCGCCGCCGGTCCGAGAGAGGCCTTTGCGGCAGCCAGGGGCCAGGAAGTCCCGGGCCTACTTCGTTGCCGACGGCGCAGTCATCGCGAACCGCGAGGAGGATCCTATATGCAGAGGATGGCAGGATGGCTCATGCGCGGAGTCACTGGGGAAATGGCGCTCAAAAAATTGGGGCCGAGTGATTAGGCACGAGGCGCGGCGCGCGCTGCCTGGGCGCCTGCCAGGGCACCTCGGAGGCCCTGGCCGTGGCCGCAAAAGGCAAGGGTCGCAAAGGTGAGGGCTCTGGCAAGGGCAAAAGCGTCAATGGCAAGTCCCAGTGCTGAGGGTGGTCGCCCGACCCGCTGGGGCCCGAGGCGGCCTCGAGTGAGCCGGGCTCGCGAGTTCCGCCGGGGCCCGCGGGTCTGGCGCGCGGTCGGCCGCCCAGTCGCAGTGCGGCCCAGACTGCGGCGTCGATCGCCTCGTGCATTGCGGCTGGAGGGCGCGTGGACAGCGCGCGGATTCTTCGGTGCCTGCATCTGCGTCGCGGCCAGAGCCGTCGTGAGTTTGGCAGCCGTGGCGCACCGACTCGGCGCACTGTGCGTTTGTGTTCTGGGCCTGCTGGGAGGGCGCGGTGCAGGGCTTCGACGCGCGCGCCCGCGAGGTGGGTTTCGAGGCTGGCATGTGGGGCGCCCTGGGCGACGCGGCCATCGGCGACCTGGCGGGCGAGGTTGCGTGGGGAGACATCGTGGAGAAGGTCCGCCCAGGACGCTACCTGGCTGCTCTTCTTTCTCCCCCGTCTACCGCGTTTGGTTCGTTCCAGCTGGGCGGCGGCGCGGGGGAAGGCGGATCCGGCCCCGTCGCGGGCCCGGCCCCGCGCGCATCTACGGCCTGCCCCACCTCTGGCTCGCGGAGAAGGAGCGAATCAATATCGGAATTCTTCGAGCCCGGAGGTGCGCGGAGACGGCCGCCGCCGCGCGCCGGCTATTTTTGTCTCGGGTTTTGAAGGCCCTGGATGTCGGGGAGGATCCGACTGGCGTTTTTCTTTGTTCCCGCGGCTGCGGCGCTGGGCGAGCTCGGCGGCGCGTTCGCGAAGAAGCTCGTGCGGTGCGAGCCGGGCGCGGCGACCGCCTGGCCGACCTCGCTTCAGGCGTGCCGCGTTGGACCTCGACGGCTTCCCGGGGGCGGCAGGCGCCCTCGCTCGAGCTGCTCGTGCGTTCGCTGCTTAACGTGCCGGCCACTTTTGAGTCGGGCACTGGTCAGACCAGCATGTTCTCAGGGAGTCGAGCCCTGGTAGCACGCTGGGTCTGGCGACGACTGCTCCCTGGTCGGTGCTTGCCAGGCTCCGGCTGGAGGTCTCATTTAACGGAGTCTTCGCCGCCGCCCCCGGGCCCGCGACAGGTCGAGCGCGCGCTCGACGACGACTCGGTGGGCGGCTTGTGGAACGTTGCGAAGATTGCAAACGACTCTCTTTACGCAGCGACGTGGGGCTGGAAGTCGCGACAGCCCTCGACGGGTTCCTCGACGGGCGCCCGTGCAGTTAGCTATTCTGCATTCCATTTCAGTTGGCGTTCTGCTTGCGCTGCCGGAGTCGGCCGCGACCGCTTTCGACTCAGGGGGGGGGTATGGCCTCGTCGGTCGGCGCCTCATCGATCCACGAGGTCGCCCGGGGGCGCCGCGCAACTAGCGCCCGCGCGCCCCCCCTCGACGCGTGGGCCAACGAAGCGCGCGACCCGTGCGCGGGCGTGGTCAGGTGGCTGCCGAAGGCGCGCCGGCTGGGATAAACTTGTCACCTGACCTGGACGGCGTGTTCCCGGCGCCATTGCGGGCCGACGAGACGGCGGTCGACCCTGAAGCCCTGCGTCTGTCGAGCAGGACGCGGGGTTTATCGCGGAGATTGAGGAGTTTACCGCGCCTGGCAGGGGGCGCTTTCTGGCTGTCGACTCGTGCGAGGAGGTCTGCAATTGCCTCCGGGACAGACCGGAAATTTCCAAATTCGAAGTGCCATACAAGTGCAAGCACGTTCGTCTCAAGAGGGTCGTCGTCTTCGACTTGAAGGCCATCCGTAAGCAGGGCCACCGAGCGGATTCTCCGCGTCGCGTTGCCGCGCCTCAGCGACGCCATGCAGGACGCGCTCGAACTGATGTCATAGTTGGAGGAGGAGTACCAGCAGGTCAATATATGCATGTTGAGCTGCATCGACGCTGTTTGGAATATTGCATTGGCATTCTGCAAGCGGAAGCATTTTGTTGGCGAGGCCAAGGGGCGTTTCTATGCGCGCGCTCGAGCGGCTCAGGGCTCCAGGGACGGCCCGCTCGCATCGGCCGCTGTCTCGTCCCTGGCCCTTCGCCTTACTCGAGGCATGCTCTTCGAGGCAAAAGAGTAGTCGAGGAGGTCCCCGCCCTCGCTCCGGATACCGGCCTTCGTGAGAGATCCAGCTATTGCGTTCCGGGACGCCAGAGGCACTCGGGATCGCCGCCTCGCCTGGCTCGTCTTCGCCTGGCTCTGTCTGGGCTTCCCGCTGGCGTTTCATAGAGCGCAGCGGGGTAGGGGGTCTTCCTGGATCGGGATCGGCGGACTCCTGGACATCCAGGACGAGGGCGTCGTTGCCGCTGTCGACCAGGACGAGGTCAAGGAGCTCGAGGAAGACGCCATCAGGCTGCTCTCCTTGAACGTGGTCTCGGCCAAGACACTCCGCCAGTGCGTCGGCGTGGCGAACTGCGCCGCGGGCGTCTTCTTCCCGCGGCGCACCCTCCTGAGTGACCTGTGGCGCGCGCTTGCCTCCGTGGACAAGCTGATGGAGAGTTTTTTTTTTTGCGCGCCCCCCGGATGCGCCTGGACCAAGCAGATTGTTGTCCCGTTGCGCTGGATTCTCGCCTTCTGTCCGTGGCCGCCGGGACAGTCCGCGCCCACTGCAGCGTCCTTGCTTGTTTCGGCGGGGGGGCCTCCATCACGATCATCGCTAACGCCTCGCCGTGGGGTCTTGCCCTTTGTCCGAGTTGGATGCGGTCGTCCTCCAGTCGTCCATCGGGTCGCACTTCGGGCAGCAGGCATTCGAGGCCCTCGCCATCCTCGTGGCGCTGCGGATGTGGAGATCTTGGTGTCAAGGCCGACCGCGTCGCGGCGTTGACCGCGATGGCCAAGCTCAAGGAACAGAGGGGCCGGCGTGGCGACAGTCGCCAGGGATGTCGCCTTAGATCTGTGTGACGGCGCGTTCCAGCCAGACGTCTGCGCCCATGCTCCTGGCGTCGCGCTCGGCATCGTGGACTCGCTGAGTCGGCAATTCCAGCTAGGTCGTTCCGTCGTCTCGCACCCTCTGCTGGCAGAGGCAGTCGAGGCGCAGCTGGGCGTCCGGTCGAACGATCGGCGGCGCGCGCTGCGACCCCCGAGCGCGGCCGCGGAGCAGCGGGAGTATTGAGGGCCGCCTTCGGCGGTCCGAGCCGCCGCGCTGATTGTTGATTTCCCATTGTCGTGCCCCGGGTGCCGGGGCAGCGACGCGTGCCAGCTAGACAATTCCATATATCTTCGCTGCGTCGATGTTGGCGAGGTCCGGGTGGCCGTGACTTCAGAGCCAACTCTGTTGGGGTCGCTGTTCAGGGGATCTGCGGGCGCCGCCGCCTCCCCGTAGTTGGAGCCATTGTGGCGAATTGACGGGGCAACGCAACGTCGTGACCCCCTCGGGGGATGCCAGCCCATCCTCGTAGGAGGGGGTGCGCGCGAGTTGATGGCCAGACGGCCCGGCGGAAAAATGCACCGTCGTCCCGCCAGGGCCCCCGAGAACGCCAGTTGGGCCAGCCAGCAGGGTCATTTTGGCTCGCGCTGCTCAGGATCAGCGTGCCCTCTTCAATTCCCATACTTCCGCTAATTCCGAGCGCCGAGAGACCGCGCGCCCATGGACATCCACGCGAAAGCATCGAGGAGTGAGGGGGAACAGAAACCGACCAACGGAGGAACGAGCCATCCCAGGGGCCACCGACCAGTAAGCCCGCACCTGCCGCTGGCAGGCCCTGCGAAGGCCAACTCCGAGACTGTCGAGCCCGCATGCCCACAGAGACGTCGATGCAAGCTGGAGAAGAGGGGCCACTGGGAGGAACACTCACAACATCATGTTCCGGGAGGCCTCTCCCGAAACGTGTTTTTCCCCTGAGGGGCCTCTGGCCTCTTGTGCCGAACGCGGTCACCCAACTGCGCGCGCGCAGTTTCAGTTCAGACGACACGGGAAGGGCGCCGCGTGGCAACGGGGGGGCGCGACGAAGTAGCAACCCCCTACATGCGAGAGACGATAGATTGCACCACGTATTTTTGCGCCAGAACATCGGAGGAACACCCCATGACCTAGCGACGCAGAATGCTCCCCCCGTCAGTTCGTTTCGCGGCAGTGCTGTGCGCCCCCGCTCCGCGCAGGTGCCTCTGCAAGCTCAGGAATCGACGAAGCGAGCCCCGGCGCAGATGGACAGGGGAGAAATGTTCCGTCAGATTTTCTTTTTCCATGAGCTAAATGTTCCTTCAGCCTGGGGCCCCCCCCCCCCGCCGTCGCGCTTCCAGGATTGCGTCCGGTTGCCGGGAGGCCCGCTCTTGTCCTCCTCCCAGGGGGGGCGCGGCCGACGGCGACCGGCCGCCCTGCGGGATGCAAACCGCCGTGCCTTCCTGAGGATGCGGCGTGGCGCGACCCGCCAGCCCCAGCGGGGCAATGAACCGTCTTGCATTCCTATTCCTAGGGGCACTGCCGTCCGCGATCGGCCCGCCCCTGTGGGACAACGCGCCGCCGCGCCATCCTAGGAGGCCAGGCCGAGTGCGTCCTGGCCCGCCCTGGCAGGATAGCTTGCCGCTGCGCCCCCCCCTGGGGCGCGGTCGACTGCGACCGGCCAGCGGGCGGGATAATTTGCCGCTGCGCCCTTTCTAGGGCAAGGGGGCGACGCCATTGTGCTTCCTCCCATCTCTCCTTCCGTAGCCTATCGGCGCAAGGGGGGTTCGCCTCGGCGCTGCCTGCCGCGTGCCATGGGCCTCCCCGAAAGAGGACCTTTTCGCCGGGCATCTTGCCCGATATATCCCGTGCGCAGACTGCCCCTGCTCCTCCTCGGCCTCCCCGTGACGGTGCTGCTGCAGTTGCTTCTTCTGGCGGTCGCATCAGCGGGCCACCCGTGTCGGTCGCGCCGAGCGTCAAGTGCCTGGGCGGTGTCGATGCTGCTCAAGAGCGCGTGGCTGACGACGTGCGCTCTCCGGGTTTTGGCTCCTCGTCGCGTGCGGGTTCTGCAACTCCTTCGTGTGCCGCTCCTGGCACTCCTGGGTATTGCCTCGCCCGCAGTGGCGAGCCGTCCGTGTCCTTCACCCGCCGGGGATCGAAAACCCTGGCGCTCGAGGCTGCTGCTATCCTGCGAGCCGCCGAGCCGCCATGGAGCTGCGCATCCTCGACCAGGATGCTTTGTCCCCTGGTGCGAAGCGGCGGCAGGATCTAGCAGTGTGGGTGGAGTTGCATTCCGCGTTGTTCGAGGGCGCCTGCCCGCCCTTCCCGCTCGTAGAGCTCAATCTTACTGCGGCCGCGGCCACGATCAAGCGCGGGCGTCGCTGCTCGGGGCGGGGCTTGCTCTCGCGAGCCAAGGGCCGCCGCGCCGAGCTTGGCTTCGCGTTTGCGGGCCGCCTCGGCAAAGTCTGCAGGCGAGTCGGACGCAGCGTCGCGCGGGGCATTGGCCCAGCGAAGCCATCTGCAGGACGCCCGCTGGACGAGGTTGCGAAGCTCCCGTGTTCTGACGAGACTGCGGTGCTTGATGGGTCGATCGACGCGGTTGGTTCCACATTGTGCGGGTCCCTGTTTTGCCCGGGGAAGTTGGAAGCCAGCGCGGCTCGCCTGGCCGATTTCACCGTGGACTTGGACCGGCGCGTTGTCTCGTGGGACCCCCCGGCGGACGAGACTGACCCGCGGGCGCTGGGCAAGCGCAGATCGTGGGAGTAATTCTGCGAAGGTCGTGGTGGTCCTTGTGCATGCTTCTTTTCTGTCCGCCACATGCGTATGCTTGAATCGGTATATGGCTTTGGGCTACCGGGGACTTCCCGTTGTCTCTCAACGAGAAGTGTGAGTTCGTCGACAAGGACTTGGCCGTGAAGTCATTCAAGGCCGTTGCTGCTGTCCTCCACCTTCCCGTGCCTGCGCCGGAGAGGTGCGAGTTGTGGGGTGGCCGCGGCATGCGGGTCACGGGCTCGCGCTGGCTGGCGTCTCGCAGCGTCGCCTTATCTACCATCTAGGTCCTTGCTTGCTGGAGCTGCGACGTCGTCTTGCGGTGCTTTGCGGAAGCGCCACTCCAGCCACTGACGGCAGAATTCAAGCGAGCTGCCATGTCCTTCAATTTGGGGTCTATGCCATCCGCCAATGGCCCGCAGCTTGAGGATGTCTCTCAGCGCCTCGATCTGTCCGCGTGCGGCGGGGTGCCGAGGAGAGCGCTTCGGTGGTCCGCATCTTGAATTGCGCTTCGGAGAAGATCCACGCTGCAATGACGTCGGGCTTCGAGGAGCTGCCGCCAGCGAGCGGGCGGGCCATGTTCGGCTGCCAGTGCTGTTTTTGCACCCACCAGAATTGAAGAAATTGCTGGAGTCACCGCAGCGGCGCGGCAGGTGCTTCCTCGCCTTGAGTGGTTCGCACCCATATTGTGAATAGTCCGGATGGCGGCTGCGTGGTTTGATGCCCTGCCGGATGGCGCAATGGACGACCGTGCCGTGGTTTCAACGTGCAGCGGCCATCTTGCCCGTGGTCTTGTCGGGCATCGCCGGGCGCTGTTTTTATTCGCGCTGTCGACGAACGTATATGTATCTGGAGATGGTGGAAGGCGGTAGCACGACGTGAAAGTTGGAAGGAGCCACGGGCGCATGTAATTTGAGCGCGTGCGTGATGCGTGGATTTATGGATTTTGTCTGCATGTGCCAATTGCCGTTTTGGCCCAAGGGCCAAAAGGCAATCGAGGTTTCGTGCTTTCCCCGCCCGCCCACTCCTACCGGCGGGACAACTTGCCGCTGTTGGTGTGCGCATTGCACCATTGGTCATCGTGCCAGCACACAGAATAGTGTGATTGCAGCCGCTGCAGGGTGGGACTCCCTGTCTGATGGTGCAATGGACATCCGTGCCGTGGGTCCGACATACCATTGCCTTTTTGCTCGTGGTCTGGCTGGGCATCAGCAGGCGCTGTTTTGATTCGCGCTGCCGAACAAACGTATATTTATCTGGAGGTGGTGGAACGTGGTAGCACGGTGTCAAAGTTGAAAAAGGAAAGAAGACCTCTTGAGGCCCCCTTGGATCTCCGAGGTGCTTCCTGGGAGCCTTTTGGGGGCGTCAGAGGGGCTTTTGGGGGCCTCTTGGCGGCCTCTGGAGGGCTTCTGCATGCCTATGAAAGACTTCTTGGCTTCTGGAGGGCGTCTTTGGGGCCCTCTCTGGGCAGTCGTGGGTCCTCCTGTGGGCGCTTCAGGGCCGTCTTGGAAGTCACTGGGCCGTCTCGGGGCCGTTTGGGGGTCTCTTGGGCCCTCCTGGGTTATCTCGCGGGCCTCTTAGTGGCCGCTTGGGCCGTCTTCGGGCGATCTTGGTGGCCTCTGGGTCCGTTTCGGAGCGTCGGAAGCCCGAAAAAGTGAGAACGCTAAAACCATTGAGCAACCGAATGGACATCAATGCTTTCGATATTTCGGAGGTCCTCTTGGAAGCCTCTTGGGGGCCTGTGGGGCCGTCTTGCGCCATATTGAGGCCGTCTTGTGCTGTCTTGGGTGCATCATGAGCCATCTTGGAGTCATTTTTGGGCCATCTGGGGCTCTCTGGGGGCCCTTTTCGCCGTCTTGGAGGCATCGTCGACGCCATCTTGGGCCGTCTTGGCTGTCTTGGAGGCGTCGGGGCCTTGCCTCCCGGGTTCTACGCGTTTTTTTGGGTGGCCGGCGGCATGGGTCGATAATTTGTGGGGAACCTTGCAAACAATTCAGCCACTTAGAAGTTTTCCACGCCGTGCTTCCGTGTGGCAAAGCGAGATCGAAGACGCTTACGGCGAATCACCGACGCCGCCTGCCTTTCAGGATGCGCCTATGACGCTGCACTTTTGGGCAAAGTTTGGCCACGGAGTTGGACCATACGTTCCGTCAGCCGTTGTGGAAGCCTTTCGGGGGACACGTGGGAGAGGACAAGGCGGATGAGGCGAGGGAGGGACATGGAAGATGAAGAGAAGGATGAAACCTCTTTGGAGCTTCTTGGGTCATTCTTGGGGCTTCCTGGGAGATTCCTGGGGGCCTCTTGGAGGCCTCTGGAGGGCCTCCTTGGGGCTATTGTCGGCCCTTCGGGGCTTCTTGGGGGCCTGTTGGGCCGTCTTGTGGCGTTCTTGGCCCTTCTCACGCTGTTCGAAGCTGTCATTGGAGCCTCTCTAGGCCGTCTTGGGGCCCTCTTGGGGCGCGTCATGG